ACATTTAGTCATTGAACTTTTTAGAGGGAAACGAACTTTCGATTTTGTTCACATTTAGTCACTAATTTTTTTTTCGTTTTCTATTTGCCACTAAACTATTGGAAACTGTTCACATTTTACCCTTATGACCGGTAACAGCCGGTCATAAGGGTAAAATGTAAACAGTTTCAATAGTTTAATGGCAAATAGATAACGAAAAAAAGTTTAGTGACTAAATGTGAACAAATTCGAAAGTTCGTTACCCTTTCAAGTCATTATCCCTTTTTTCTTTAAATAGTAATGATAACAATAACAATAATTTAAAGTTTAAGAAATTAAAATTAAATAGAAAATTCCATATAAGATATTAACCTGGCAAGTTTTTTTTTACAGAAAATGCCAAAGACCATAATTTTTTAACGAAAATTCTAATCTATTCTTAATTACACATATGTCGATTTGAATCCTCACAGATGGAAGACAACACATGATATCCTTGGCTAGAAGTTTCTTTGGATACATGCCAAAGATTGGTTCAAAACAGAACTACATTATATGAGCAAACTACCAAACTCAATTTTAATTGTTGATGAAACTCAATTTTATTTGCTCAAATAATTTGCTTCTATTTTGCAAAACACCTTAAAGTCCATTTCTTCAAGTAGGTATGCCAACCCACGAGCAATGTCTTGATCCACTTTTAGTCTCATGGCCCAATAGAAAGGTATTTTGGAACTTGTACATAAATGATCCCTTAAGTTTCCATTAGACGTATATTCATAGACTAAAAGCAGGCCCGTCCCAGAGGGTGGGCGATAGGGGCGGCCATCCAGGACTCATCTTTTAAAGGGGCCTAATTTTTTTATGGAAGTTATTATATTTAGAAGATAGTACAAGTAATTTTCTTTCAATTATCGAGTTATTACAAAAAACTTGATGACATTTGTGCGCTTTATGGGCCCATTTTTTTCTTTCGCCTAGGGCCCAAAATATGTTTTGAACAGCCCTGACTAAAAGTCTATGAGTTTGTCCTTCGACGTCCTCCACGTAGTATCCAACTAGTTTGACAGTGTTTAGATGTTCAACCAACCCAAAAAAATTCACCTTTGTTATCCACTCTATGTGCTCATGTATCATCATCAACAACAAAACTCATAGGAAATTACACAAAGCAATAACTTTTTATCATTAAAAATGGTATTAATTATTATTTCTCTGAAATTTACACTAAAACGATGGGTTAAAATGTCGATTTATCACTTTTAAGGGGAGAAGTATAATCTTTGTAAAGTGTAAAGGCTATTTAGTGACTTCCAACTTTAGTTAGCCCAACATTATAGGAAAAAAAACTCAAGGGGCTATTCCTTAAAGTCCGATCTAATTCGGATCCTGACATTTTTCTTCTTTGCCCCATTACTCCAATTTACACCCGACACCATTGAAGAAAAATCACAACTTTGATTTTAGATTTTCTTTAATTCTCATGCATTTCTACTTGGTTCTTCACAGCCACTCAGGGCCGGTCCAAACATATTTTGGTGTTGGGGCGAGATGAAGAAAAAGACCTCCAAAGTCAATAACATAATAAAGTTTCGAAACTAGACATCAATTATAAAAATCATTAACAATATTATAAAAAACACAAAAAAATAGGAACAAAAGTCATAAATCTGATAAAATGAATAAATAAATATGATAACTGACAATCCTTTTTTTGGCTTTCTAATAAATGTTTTTTAGGCAACATTGTATGGATGTAAATAATTAAACACTACTTCAAGGAAAGTATAGACTTGTTCTTTTATTTTTGTATCAAATATAAGAAAGGTAAGCTGCAAAAAAAAATCAAGAACAAAAGTCACAAATCTGATAAAAGAAATAAATAAATCTGATAACCAACAAATATGATTAACATTTTACCTTATCAAGTTGAAAATGTGATATATTGATGTTGATACCCTGCAAGAATCAAATCACAAACAAAAATGAGAATATTTGAAACATGAACTTTTGATTATACAAAAGCTTTGATCAAACAAATTCGATATTGAGAAGAAGAAACAAAACCAAAACCTAATGGATTTAGAAATCAAGATACTAATTAATTGAGAAATTAGAATGAGAAACAACCAAAAAAAGATAACATAAATAAAAAATCAGAATCTTAGATCAAACTTTAGGTGTGATAATCAGAATCTAATCAATTCAGGACACCACCACCAACAAGAGGATTGACTCTTCTTCAATGACCGCCTCGTTGAGGGTTGTGATGCCTCCCGTCAGAAACTAATCAACTGGATTCAGTGGAAATGATTAACTAAATCAGATAAAGATGAGACTGAGGGTGGTTGTATCTTGTAGATGAAGTCGGAATTCAGAAATTTTGGACGTCGTCTTCTGATGAATCGGAGTGAATGAAAACGAAGGGAGAGTGAGAAGTGGATGCAAAAGACAAGATTGAAATCAAACAGAGGAGCCGATGAGAGAAATCTAGTAATGATGTCGATTAACGAGGTAAACTAGTAAAAAAGGACATTGATTCACAAATCGAGGACGTCGATTCGATTCTCCTGCCTATTTGTCAATTCATGATAGACATATAGATAAATTAAGGGAAATCTGTGGAAAAGTCCCAAAGCTTTGCCCCAATTTATGATTTAGTCCTAAATTAATTTTCACTTATGAAAAAGGGCAGGTTACCGGCTATTACACTCAGTTTAGCCCTTCGAACCGGTAACCCTTGTATTAGCCGGTTACCCTAGCTGACTGTCCTTATCACCCTCCATTAACCTCCCCGTCATCCACTTCTCCTCTGTAAAAACCCTTACTTACCCTCCATCGAAGCAAAACTCTACCTGAGAAGAATCAAAGGTAAGAAAATCCACGTGGTCCTCCAATATCTTGTTTCCCTTATAATATTTGATTAATTTTTGTTTTGTAGTGATAATGAATACAGTAGATGACTTGGATACCATTGACATGGAATTGGATGAGTTGTTCAAACACAAACAAAGAAGTCGATGCAAAGATGAGTTCCTAAACACTCTCATATACGAAGCGCTTGACAAATGCAAATTTCAGAAAGGTCTTCAGTGGTATAGAGTTCAAGAATATGTTTTGGACAGTTGTCAAGTCAACTGTTGAGGGAGACTTCAAATTGAATATGGAGAAGATTAGAGAAGTCAATCTTGTTGCTTATGATCATTTGATGGCAACGGATCCTAAATCTTGGTGCAGGGCATTTTTTAAAGGTGGAATGGCATGTGAGGCTGTTGAAAATTGAATGGCAAAGTGTTTTAATGCCATCATACTTGATTCTAGAAAAAGCCTTTGTTGGCCATGCTTGAGGAGATTAGACTATATATGATGGAAAGGTTATTTAACTTGAAGCAAGAAGCACGTAAATGGGTGAATGATGTGTGTCCAGGGCCTATTAAGAAAATGGATTAGTTTGGTTTTGATATCAAGTAAGTATTATAAAATTAAGACAATGTATGAGTTTAGTATTGATATCAATATATATACTAATTAAAACTGTTAATGTGTTTACAGGAGTTGGTATGCTCATCCTAGTGGTTTGAATGCTTATAAAGTGAGAAATGGCTTCCACTCATATGGAGTGAACTTAGAGGGGATGTACTATACATGCAGACTTTGGGAGCTGTCTGGGATCTCCTGTGTCCATGCCCAAGCAACAATAATTTACACACAACAGGATCCAGCTAGATTCATCAGCACACGGTTTGGTAAGGACAAGTTTTTAGCTACTTATGAGTCTAACATCCTTCCTGTTAATGGCAGTAATATGTGGGAACCAATACCTTACACCAAACCACTACCACCTGTTGAAAGAAGGATGCCAGGAAGGCCTTGTATGAAAAGGAAAAGGCATGTTTCTAAGCATGAAGACAGGTTCTCCCAAGTCTCCTCTAAGGGCAGAACTGTCCAATGTCAGAATTGTATGCAAATGGGGTACAATAAAGTATCTTGCAAGAATCCCTCAGTCAAACCAACACTAAAGCCTAAGAAGAAAATTGGAAGGCCAAGGTTGAATCCAGAATTGACCAATTGCACAAGACTTGGGAGAGGTGGTGGAAGAGGTGGTACAAGAGGTGGAAGAGGTGGTGGAAGAGGTGGTAGAAGAGGGGGTAGAAGTGGTGGAAGAGGGTCTACCAGTGTTTATGAAGAAGGTGAAAGTTCTGGGGAAAAAGTACTTGGGATTGAGGCTCAATTTGTCACCCAAACAGCATCTAATGTTGAGAGTCAATTTGTCACCCAAACAACACCTACTGTTGACAGTGAACATCTACCAGAAACACAAGAAGCAGATGTTAAGATTGATGTTGAAGGTGATAGTCTTGATATGGCTGATCTGGATCAAATACTGCATGATTTGAGTAACCTTAGAGAGTCAAAATACAGTGAAGCAGAGATCCTTTTGTGTCTTAATATCACCCAATCACAACTTAAAGGATTTGATGCTTTGCTTCACCAATCCAAACAAGTTGCAAAGGTATATCTTATAACACTGAGAGTGAATTTTATTTTTCAATAACATAACTAACTTGTATTTTTACCATGCAATGATGTGCCTTTTGTGAGTGAACATGTACCAGAAACACAGGAGGACAATGAAGATGGAGCCGAGGATGATGAAGATGGAGCTGAGGATGATGAAGAGGGAGTTGATAATACTCAAGTTAGGATTAGAAATCAAGTCGGGGTTAGAACAAGAAAACCTTCTGAAAGGATCACTGAAAACATGTTGAAGAAAATTGTGGTTGACAATAAAGGAATAGGAATGGCTCCAGAAAATCCTCTTACTTTGGATTAGATTGGTTAGGATTTAAGCAATTATATGGGCTATTTGGGCAAATTTGTTAGGAAGCCCTTTTTGGTAAATTTGTTAATATGCCCTTTCTTTTGTAAACAATATACAATATGGCTGCATTGTTACACTTTGGCTGATTTTGGTATGTTTTGTTGATGTATAAGTTACATCCATTTTGGTCATTATGTTATGTTGAAAAACATCCTTCATTTGCTTACATCATACACTTACAATTGTACATTGCTCAAACAGTAGGTATCCATAAAACCATTTTTCATTCAACAACATACAACTTACACCCAACTGTCATTTAAGTAATCAAGATTACATACATTGTCAAAAGTTTTACAACTTAAAACTACTTCAACAAAATCCACACAATCACCAAAAAACACACACAAAAAAAACCAATCTTCCATTTTTCACCTTCACCTTGTACAGGAACCTCTTGAAAGCCATTGTTTTGAAAGTCCACAGCTTCTTCCACGAACTCATTATCTACTTGAATGCCATTATTGTGAAAACCCATCAACATGTTTCTGTACCAGTTGTTTGGTAATGGGGGATCGACCCAAGCAAAATACTTGCAATATTTTTCCTCATCCTGTTATATAGGAAATAAAACCTAATTGGAATAGATTTGAGATGTAATTAAAGAGGATTAAGGGATACTTACCCGTAAATTAGGGCAGCCGATGAACCTCCTGCCAGGGTTTGTTGGCCTCCATGATGTCCACTTACCAACGGGGTCTTTACAAAATCATGTTGCCCTTAATGCTTGCCTTCGTGATCGGATATTGCTCCTGCTTCCCACTGAACTTGAAGATGCCATTTTGGTAGAGTTTTGCTTCGATGGAGGGTAAGAAAGGGTTTTTTTATAGAGGAGTGGGTGACGAGGAGGTTAGTGGAGGGTAATAAGGACGAGTCAGCTGGGGTAACCGACTAATACAAGGGTTACCGGTTCAAAGGGTTAAACTGAGTGTAATAGCATGTAACCTATCCTTTTTCATAAGTGAAAATTAATTTAGGACTCAATCATAAATTGGTGCAAAACTTTGGGATTTTTCCGCAGATTTCCCAATAAATTAAATTTGTACATATA